TCCCAAATTGTAAGACGTTTGACTTTTTTGACACCAAGTTTGACCATTCGTCTTATTCAAAAATTTGTGTAAAATATCATTTCTTTCGTCGTGGTTTGGTTTATTAATAAAATTTTTTTCAAAAATGACTTAAATTTGACTATATTTGCATAAATTTTTTGAATAAGACGAATGGTCAAACTTAAAGCCAAAAAAGTCAAACGTGTTATAATTTGGGATGGAAGAGTAGGAGATAAGAAGCTCAAATGGCCTACTGGCATGCTATGTAAGCCTAAGTTGTCATCAGCGAGTAAAGTATTGTACGGTTGCTGTAAAACTCACCCCAAAACCAAGTGAAAAAAAAGGTACTGCAAAAACAAAGGCCGGTCGTCGCCAACGGGAGCCACGTTTACAGCCCGTGTACCACTTCGCTTTTAAACACGATTGCCCTTTTCCCCCATTTCACACTTTGTGCCACCGCCAGAACCCGATCCGGGCCATCCAGCAGACCAGCACCCAACGCCCGCGGCCTGCCTCACCAGTCACCACGACGCGCCAGCGCGGCGACGTGGTTCGCCCGCCCACAGGCCCGTCATCCGCGACCCGATCACGGCCATCCACGTGTCCCTAACGCCCATCAGCCTCCATCTCGTCGTCGTCTCGTTCCTTCCCTCCCCTTCCATCTGCGCCCGCCGCGCGCGCCTATAACTACTCCACCACGGCCGCCCTCGCGAACGATCCGCGCAGTGTCTTCCACGCACTAATCCTTTTGCCCAGACCGCACACTGACGGAACTCACTCGTCCTTCGCCTCCCGCAGCTGATCCGTATTTAGTTTCCGTGCCCACCCAACCCAAGCAGATCGATCGATGGGAAACTGCTGCCTCGAGAGTCCTCGCCGCGGTGGCGGCCGCAGTGCCGGCGCCGTGCATTACGCCAGGACGAACCCCGTGTGGGTGGAGGACAACGGCGTGGGGGACACGAAGGAGGAGGAGGCGCGCAAGGGCGAGGGCGCGCCGGCGGCAACCACGGAGGTGAAGATCAGGATCACGAGGAAGCAGCTGGAGGAGCTGCTGCGGCGCGTAGAGGGCGACAAGCACGCCGGCGGCGGCGGCGCGCCCGTCCAGGAGGTCATCTCCGAGCTCCTGTGCGTAGTCAACAGCAGCTCCATCTTCCGGCACAGGGAGGAGGGGCAGTGGCGGCCGTCGCTGCAGACCATACCCGAGTGAGATCCAATTCATGGTGCTCGCCGTTGGCATGTTCGTCGATGATCGTGGATCGTGCTATTATTACCCAGAGTTTTGTGCAATTGGTGGTCGTGTTATTTACGATACGCATGGTTGGCTCTGTGTAGGGTGTAGTTTTTTCTAGCATTGTGGGATTAAGAACAGAGGACGGATAGGCTATTTAGGGTGGGAGACTAGATCAGCATTGGTTCTTCTTAGTTTAATTTGTACTAGTATATGTTGTAGATGATTGGAAGATTATTTATATGTAGTTAGTTCCATTGGTCAACATATTTCGGTGTTGTAAAACTATGTACTATACCCATGCTAAAATAATGTAGTTATAGTTGTGTCCTAAGTCAATCAAATCTATATATATTACTTCTCCGTCCCAAATTATAAATCATTTTAACTTTATTGGAGTCAAAGATTCTCAAGTTTGATCAAATTTATATAATAAAATAATAACATTTATAATATCAAATAAATATCGTTAGATTCTTTTTAACTTAAATATTTTTATAGTATACCTATTTAATGTTATAAATCTTTGTAATTTTCTCTATAATTTTGATCAAACTTGAGATACTTTGAGTCTCCAATAAAGTTAGAACGACTTATAATTTAAAATGAAAGGAGTACCTAATATTGAAAACAGTAAATTTATTTCTTCCGACACTCACTTTCTTCCCTGTTCGCCCATGTGGCCATGTCTATATATGTTTCATCTCTGAGTCTGTTGTCCCTCGCTCTCGCTTTGAATTTGAGCTGAAAAACCTTTGTTGGCGCCCACCACTCGCATGTCATGGTTTGGTCATCCAAGCCCGTGCTTGTCGTGGGCCGGATGTGGGTTGCCCAGCCAGGTAACAGAGAACGAAATGTGTTTGGATTCCTCGCTGGGTCACCTCGTGGCCTACGCAAGTGAGTTTTTTCTTGCCGAAGCAAGTGAGCGGAATCGGCTGTCCACCGCCGGCAAGGCGAGGCTTGTTTGTCAAAGCAAGGCTAGATAAGATTGGCTTTGGAACCAATGGTGCCCTTAGTGTCCAAGCTCGATTGCCACCATGGTGGCTAAGCTAATCAATTATATTTTTGCATAGAGTTCAATCTTAAATTAAGCTCATATTAATTGAAAATATGTATAACTTAATTGGAAGAATGAATTAAACAATAACAATATTCAGAAAGAGAGCAAAATATGTAATCTTTCATTGCATGTTATTGGGATGTAACATTATAACGCATTGAACATGCCAATTTCCTATAAAGTCAGGGTTCGTAATACATAACACAGTGATACATTGTTCTCACACACAAATTTTTTTTGAAACTACAAAATTTATGAAAACCTAGAAGTTTTATCGCGAATTTGCAACATTGTGCAATTAGTGCTCAAAATTATATCAAACAAGAGGGGGCTATTTAAATTGAACAACAATAGAACGTTCTCGGGCCTGCCAACTTCCTATTCAGCCTTGGATGCAATTTGGGCCCAGGTTTGTGAGGAAGCAAACGTGGGCTTAGGCCACAAATTCGGCCGAAATCAGAGTCTGTCGCCGCCGCCTCAGCTCCTCCTCTTTGCCCTCCGTCTTCGCTTCTGTTCCTTGACCCGCGCCGCCTGCGTCCGTGGAGGTGTAAAACGAGCTGGCACCACCGCCGGTTCCATTGGGGAGTACGCAGCCACCACCATCGCCGAGTGCGGGGCTCGGTGTCGGTGGACTGAGGCCGAGTCGACGGTTGGCCGCCGCCCGCCGCTGTGGCATTGTAACGCGAGGGGTCCAGCCCGTCGGTACGGTGTCGCCGTAGTCGTCTGGGAGACCGCCGCCGCCCGGACAACGTCGTTCGACGTTCATGCAGTGCACGAAGTCACCAACACCGGTGCTGCTAGTGCTGATCCTAATTAGCATGCCTCATAACAATTAACACATGCTTAATAATACAATTATTAATTGTTAATTAATTCATCTAATTACTATTTCTGACAAAATGAGCTCGGTTGATTTGCCACAGCCTCCATGGAAGCAAACAGCCGGTGGCCGGGATGTGGGCGCAGGGGCGGTCCTAACCAACCCGGCATATATTATCCCCAACCAACTGGAAATTTTTGACCTACATCTCAGGTCTTAGCGGTTGTAGTATAATGTTGTTTGATCGGATAGATACACTGCAACTAATTAAACGTCCGTCTTAAGAGTTCGACCCAGCTCTCAAATCTGAACTGAACAAGTTTATTTTTGGCATACATTGATTGATTGGTCCCATCTCATCATTGTACAGAGAACTGCAACCAGCACCATCCGGAAATAAAAGAAACGGTGGTTATTTAGAAAATAGTACTAAGGCGAAGTTAGGGGGCCGTTCGGCTTATACATAAGCCGGCTGAAGCTGTTTTGTTATGAGAGAAAAATACTGTAGATTCTACCTGATAAGCCTGCTGATAAGTTCAAGCGATGGAAGTTGGAACTTGGATATGCCATCAACCGTCATGCTTCACTCTGAAAGTGGCAATATTTGGGATGAAATCATACAAGGTGAGAGGACCATTTCAGGAATCAGGATGTTGAACTAGTGTAACACACTGTATTATTCAGAGAGGCAGCAATGGCATACGCTAACTGCTAATCATTTTTCGGTTGTGATATGGTTCATGATTAGAAATCAGCCTTTTTCGGTTGTGATATGGTTCATGATTAGAAATCAGCCTAATTGATCAGCTGGAAGTTCAGAGGATTCAGATGGAGACTACTGGACCACCAGAACAAATTATTACTAGCCAGTTTCTGTGTTTGAGAATATACTTACATTCGGTATTTACAACAACTGATAAATTAAAAAAACAGAGAATCATCTGATTTTCTAAGAGGAAAAAAAGCATATCATATTTCAAAGAAATGTTAAAACTCTGCATTCGAGCTAGCATCATTCTCAAAAAAAAAAGTACTAGCATCCGCAATTATTTAGACCTTATTATTATCTCTGCTATAGTATAGGCTGGAAGACAGCAGGAAAGTCAATAATCTACCATGAAGCTGGAGCCTGGAGGCGAAATTAAGACATGATAATCTGACGGTAAGTCGGCTAAACTATACTGATGAACTGTTGCCCGTATGGCCAGATGGCCCAGATACTCAGATTAACTCTTGAGTGAAAAATTAATATGACTAACGACTTAAAGTGATTCAACTAGTATTCCTTCTCTGTGGTCTCGTGTAATCAAGGCATATTTGTATGACACTAGCTAGTATTAGCAAGATGCACTACAATTTCATCTAACCTTCAAAACGCGCCACGAGCATAGATATTTTTTCTACAAGCTGCTATGTGGCTGCTTGCTCATTCATTAAAATAACACAAGGAAGCGGGCAGGGTGTAAGACCTTTAATCAGCCTATAAGAAACTCAAGTGCCATACTGGGACGCTATGTAAGCCTAAGATTCCCCTTTTCCCCCCATTTCACACTTTGCGCCACCGCCAGAGCCCGATCCGGCCCATCCAACACCCAACGACGCGCCAGCGCGGCAACGTGGTCGGCCCGCCCACGGGCCCGTTGATCCGCGACCCGATCACGGCCATCCACGTGTCCCGGACGCGCATCTGCTGCTGCTCAGCCCCTCCGTCTCGTCGTCGTCTCGTCCCTTCCGTCTCCGCCCGGCGCCCGCCGCGCGCGCCTATATCTACTCCACCACGGCCGCCCTCGCCAACGATCTGCGGTTTCTTTCACGCAACAATCCTTTTGCCCAGACCGCACAGCAGCCGATCCGTATTTTTGGTTTCCGTGTCCACACCCAAGGAGATATCGATGGGAAACTGCTGCCTCGAGAGGCCTCGTCGCGGTGGCGGCGGCAGTGCTGGCGCCGTGCATTACTCCAGGACGAACCCCGTGTGGGTGGCGGAGGAGGAGGAGGTGGACTGGAAGGAGGAGGCGCGCAAGGGCGAGGGCGCCGGCCACGCGCCGGCGGCGACCACGGAGGTCAAGATCAGGATCACAAGGAAGCAGCTGGAGGAACTGCTGCGGCGCGTAGAGGACGGGAAGCACGGCGGCGGCGGCGGCGGCGGCGTGCCCGTCTTGGAGGTCATCTCGGAGCTCCTGTGCGTGGCCAGCACCAGCTCCAACTTCCGGCACAGGGAAGAGGGGCAGTGGCGACCGTCGCTGCAGACCATACCCGAGTGAGAGGGATCTGATCTGATGATCATGGTACTTGATGTTACTGTTGTATTAGTTGTTTAGCACCTCCATCAATCCATGCGCGTTGATGCTTCCATAGCCATTTGCACCGCCATCATTGTAGTAGGCTAGTAGCTTTAGATAGGGTGTACATTTGTTAGGTCTTGGATCAGGAGATCAGTCTATCTTGAGATAGATATATAATAGATATATGGGCTATGCAGAGTAATAATTAATTTATCTTGGTGTTTAGTTGTTGAGTAGTGCATGTGCTTCTTGGCTTGCCTGTTTTGTTTTGGACATTGGATTGTGCAACTATGGAGTACAGCTTATTGTCGAGCTTGTACTTGCTAGTAATTTTAGCTCCTTTCAGCTTGGTTGAGCTGTTTGGAGTAGATGATTACTGAATTGTGTCAAAAAAAAAATTGCACTGTACTGTTTCACCATTAGTGCTCTACTGCTCTACGCCCCAGGCGGCCGAATTGGGTTTTGACCAATCTGGACACGTTGGGATCCTGTATCTTTCTCTAGAAAGATCTTTTAACACAGTGCCAAATCCACTGATCATGGATGAAGGTGAAGCAGGAATATTGAAATGCAGTGCAGTAGAATAGAATCCCTGTTATCTGTTCTGTTCTCATGCTTTGTCTCTCCTCTGTTTATAGTATGTATTGGCCCTTATGCATGTTCGTAGCCGTAGCACTTTGAGTAAAGCAAGTGGGCAACGTGGCTGCCCTGCAGAGCTGTGCGGTCGTGGAGGCTGGAGGTCAGAGTGGTTGAGAGATGGTGAACTTCCATTCCTCAATTCCTCTCATTCTAAGTGTGTTTTTGCTTACTTCATCATGAATTATGATCACTAGCAAATATATCCGTGCGTTATAACGGGAGAGAAAAACTATCAAACTTTAATAGAAAATATTACATTTATATATTTATTTTTTATCTTTTCTAGAAAATTTAGTAGCTATAAGTTATTCTCTTATCACTATGGCATCCATAATATAAGGGTGCATGCATTTGGTATGGCTCTGTGCCAAGTGATGTGCGTGAGTGCCTAACTCCAGATCGAGAATGACTGGGCTGGGGTTGCCTGCGGCTGGGCTTGGGTTGGACACGGATAGGGTCAGCCCGAATCCAAATCCAAATGAAATTAATTTTAATTAATTAACCTGGCGCTTCGAGATGCCTGCAACTTTGTTGAAGAGGATCACCAGTGCAAAACTCTTTAATAAAATGGGTCATCATGTTTGATGATGTGCAAAAGCATAGATACTAGGGTAGTTCATATAGATGCGATGTTCTAGAAGCATTGAGGAGGAGAAGTATAACGGAAAGAGTTCTAGCTAATCGACATATTTTTTTTCTCGAACATGCAGGAGGGCTATGCATCATTTTATTAAAAACAGATACCAATCTGCATAATTTATAAAGATGGGGATGGTAATCTGCACACATCAGAACATGTAATCAAGGACGGGGATGGTAATCTGCACATCTTTCATCATCTCAAGAAAATTAGCAAAAACTACTTGTCTTCACTTGACTTCTTAAACCGTTTTGGAAATGGCTGTTTCGGCTTGGTAGGTGAAACTGAAGTCGAACTGATTGACGATGGAGTTGGCCCTGTTCGTTTGTCTTATGAGCCGTACTTTTTCAGTGAAGGAATAGTATTTTTCTCTCACAACAAATCACCCAACGGTACTTTTCAACCTGGACATTTCAATTATTCACGGTCAAAAGGATAGAGCAACCATGCTAGTTGCACACTTGTAGTCTTCGGTAGCAAAAACCAACTAAAGTACTAGCTACCTTCAGCCTTCAGGTTGGGCATGGCCCATACAACACATCATATGATTAAAGATCTGTAGATGAAAATAAGAATTAGTGTGCACTGAGACCTGCATAAGATGTTTAGTTGATTAGAATGCAGGCCAATACTGTTGTCTCCTCGCAGGTCTAGTGGAGAACTGGAGATAGATATATAAGTCATGATACAAACTGCTGTACTTACTGAAGTTTAGCCAAAGTAAAACTGGCTAAGCTGATTTACTTTAATTTACACTGAATCGATAAAACCAGTTTAGATGATTTGTGCAATATTAGCTAGCCCTTCATGAGAAAACTGGCTACCTGAGAACTAGCTAAGATGGTTTTGTATAATATATGATTCTCTTTCCCTAGCCAATTCTATTCAGATTATGAACAGGACTTTGTCTGTGTGGTGATTGATTGGTCTTGCCTATCTGAAGCTTAGATATTTGTGTTTGAATCAGCAAGAATCTAACAATATATGTTGTGAGCCGTTGGAGCCCCTGCATGGCACCTCTGGTTGCAAGCTCATATGCCTGTCCCCTTGGTATTTGATGAAATGCACAAGCGTGGACCACAATACTCATACTCGTAGCTATGGCTCTCAATTATACTTATTTCCTACCCCTTCTCCATTGACTATTATAAAAAGATTATATCAAATATATTTTCTTTAAGCCTGGAAGTTACTATAGAGATTGAAATGATGAACATAGCTTGGAGTTGAATTGTTCCTCGTAAGCTATAATATCCATAAATGATTTATTTATAGTGTTGCAATCTGGAGGCTTCTCTCTGCCTATTTATTCAACAAAGCAAAAATTATAGTTAGTATAAGTCACTAAAATATAGCTTAGTTCAATTATACACTTTGAGAGGCAAACACAAAATTTACACTGGTCCAATCAAGTAAGTGCGGCAATGTCACACTCCTGGTGTCTAATGTATATCTGCTACAACTAAAAAGACTAAAAGTAAGACTATTTTTTTGTGCGACTTTTTTTTAGGTCGCTCCTCCCTTCCGGCCATGCGATACCCCGCGCGATAGAAAAAGAATCTGCTATCCCTGCGATCCCTGCCTGCTTCGAAGGAAACAAATCGATCACCTGAGGCCACATGCATGGAAGGAAACAATAATCATGCATGGAAGGAAACAATTGGCAAAGATTAAACAAGACTCATCCCTTCCGGCCATGCGATACCCCGCACGATAGAAAGAAAAATTGTCATCCCTGCGATCCCCACTTGCTTTGAAGGAAACAAATCGATCACTTGAGGCCATATGCATGGAAGGAAACAATAATCATGCATGGAAAGAAATAATCATGCATGGAAGAAAATAAGTTTATTATGAAAATATATTCAATGGTCTATGCAATGATACTAATTATATATTATAAATATTAATATTCTTTTATATATAATTGATCGAAGTTAAAAAAAAAGTTAACTTCTCGGGAAGCGAGAATGAATTCTATTTTGGGATAGATGGAGTATATGAAAGTAGTGTTGAAAATATTTTAACAATCAAATTCGTCTCTGTCTTATTGGTAAGCTTAGATATCATAATGGCATAAAAAATTTCGACTCTCATAGACACCCTCATGGATCAGTGCAAAGCATCCCAATCCTACAACATACATAAATGACAACATTAAAGTTATAATATTTTCAAAGGGTGGACAATAAAGACCATCTTAGATATCAATTAGGAGGCATTAGAGTTAATTATAAACTAATTACATAAGTTGTGGCTAATTGTTTGATACACATTGGCATGGTGGTGCAAGTGGACATCGGAAAGCCGGTATAAAAATGATCTTAGCCGCATCACGAGATATACACATTAGAGTTAGGGGTGTTTGGATACGAACTTAGATTAAAAACTTTAGTCCCCGTTATCTTACATTGAATTTTTAGATATCAATTAGGAGGACTAAACATGAGTTAATTATAAAACTAATTACATAAGTTGTGGCTAATCGTAGAATTTTTTTGCCGATATAAAACATTATCTTAGCCATATCAGGATGGTATGGAGATGTGGTGGAACTTATTCGTGGATTTGTTTTAATCGAACTTTGCTTCGAAATTAAAATGGACATCGGAAATCTTTTCATGTGATCCGTGTGTGTTTTTAGTACAAAAAAATGATCTTAGCAGCGCATCACGCTACCTAGTCTAAAAGATATACAACATTAGAGATTTGTGAGCTACGAGAAACATCAGATTTCCTCGCTCACTCATGTTTCCTACGCCATTTTCACTCTTGTTGGTTTGGTCGTGTAAAAAATTTTACGAACTTAGTTTGGTTTTGGATTAAATGTCACTTTAACGTTTATCAAGGTTATGAGATATACTACTCCAAGTTTGACGAAGATTGATTATCTTATCATGGTGATGATCAAATGCTTGAACTTGGAAAGAAGAGAGAGAAAACAAAATCAAGGCAAAGGTGTGTTTTAGTATCAAGAAAAGTTTAGATAGATAGTCATTACTATTAAGAGGAGTGTAACTCAGTTATCAAAGTGCACTAGATGCTCTAACTCTTTGCATATGCATTTAACCTAGTGGAATGCTTACATATATACTCGAAAATAACACATGTGCACAAGGTGTTTGCGGGGGTTGAGATGTGTACATGATTATATGGAGATGAAAAATGAAACTTATTCATAGATTTACAAAATTATTGGTTGGCACATTTGAGCAAGGGCGAGAAAATGAAATGGATAAATAATGAATTCTTTACTGCCGATATAAAATATTATCTTAGCCGTATCCGAAAAAAGTTTATACCGGACGCCGAGGCTTTTGTGAGCACGAGGGCTGATGACCGGACGTCGAAGGCTCTCAACCGGACGCCGAGAGCTCGTGTTAATTTCACGAACTTTGCTTTTAAATTAAAATGTCACTTTGACGCTCAAGGATATTTAATTTTCATTGACATAGCAAGCTTGTGATTGACTATCATTATCATGTGATCATCATAGTGATTGGGAGTGAATCCAAGTGCATTGCTTAGTACAAGAAGACTTGGTGATTTGTTGTTCATGGATTTCGCAACGCACAAACACGCGTTGAGTACCTAGTCTAAGTGTAATTGTGAAAAACTACGTATAGTAAAGAGCAACTCTCAATTTTAAGATGGATGTCTCGCCACAAGGTGACTAGTGGCTGAACCTCAGAAAATCATT